ATATATATATATATATATATATATATATATATATATATATATATACCTATATGTATAATAATATATAATGTCATTTTTAGATAATTTTAAAATAAATATATATTGTGCCCGAGTTATTTTTTCTTATTTAGAATTGTATCAGCAGGTATGTTTGTGACATGTTCATTCTGACATACGTTTCTTGTGTTCAGCGCTTCCAGAAATCCATCCGTCCCCTCAACTCCTGGCGTGTTAACAACATAAACACAACCTCTCAGGATCAGCACGTGGAACCCCAGAGAGTTGAGGGACCCTTCACGGTTAACCTGACTGAAGCGGACTTCACCTCCATGAACTGGGAGGCCATAAGCGAGGCGTAACACTGCCCCAAATGTTAGGAGGTGTTACTGAATCTCAAAAAGACAAGTACTGGTGAGGACTTTGGTTTGGAGAATCGTACACTCTTCCTCACCAGTCCAACTGGACTGAAATTAATTGACTGTCTTATAGGACATTTAATACAATTCAATTTTTTTAATTTATGCTTATTGCTCATTTGACATAGTATTGGGCCAAAGCCAGAGACTGAGAAACCCAGAAGACATTTGGATTCTTTGGCTGAATACTTGATGTCCTAAGGATTCCATTTCATGCTGTTCATCTAGTCTTTTCATCAAAGAGTGTATAGGCTTATTTTATAAGGTAACAGACCTAGTAACATGATATGTTTTTCATTTACAAGAGCCAGGTCAAATCAAATCAGGTCAATGCCTTTAGTAGACATTGTTTAACAAAACAGAACTTATTTGATATAGTAACAGTTCACATGAATAAAATAAAATGTAGTACAAGAGGCATTGTAAAGCCTCTTTAGAATGTTTAAATATGCTATCATAACCTTTTTGAAGTGCCACGAATTCAGCAAATAAAATCAAAATGGTTTCATGAGTTGTTCTCAGCTGAAGCTGTTTGTTTACCATGGGCAGATTCAGCTTATTTCAGTGGCCTACCAAGGCCGTGCACACTTTGAATAAAGCAAACTTCCTTATGACAGAGGAGGTGCTGAAACAGGTTTGTTTATTCAGAGCACTATGGTAACAATGGCAAACCTGCCCTTGTTGGGGCTTTGTTTTGGACACTAACCCATTGAGCTATCTTGATTTAGACAGTTTCTCTGAGCGTGCCTAGCCATTTAATGTTCTGCTCCACCGCAGTTGATGCAAACAAACCTTCAGCAGATGTTAAATACAGCAGAGAAATGTGTACAGAGTGCACTGGCAAAAAAAAAAAGCTGTGGCATTTATGGAGTTCAACTTAGCCTGCATGAACAATTCAAGAATTTGGTATATATTTATACACACTCAGGGACTGAATATGTGCAGTGTTGGGTCTGTCTACTGCGTTGGTGTATGTTTCACAGTGGATTTCTGTGAACAGTGATGGAATAGCTACTTCCTGTACAGATTTTCAACAGCTCCATGACGCAAAGAGGTTTTTCAAAAAATGCAATGCCGAGGAAGTTAACCTACACTTAGCCCTGAGAACTATCAAACTTATTTTTATTTTTGGTTAAGAAAGTCTCAAATTAAACCTAAATTCTGCTTGTGATTTATGGAATATAGTTTCTGCTAATTTAAGAAAAAAAACGAATTAACTGATTTGTTTGTAAAGTACACTACCGTTCAAAGGTTTGGTGTCAGTAAAATTAAATCAAATAATTAAACAATTATTTATTCCTGTGATGGCAAAGCAGATTATATATATATATATATATATATATATATATACATATATTTTTTCTTTTGATCAATTTGATGTTATTACTGAATAAAACGATTTCTTAAAAATAAATCTAATAATCTTATTAATCTTAAATGGTTGAGTATGTGCCAAAATAAAAAAATAAAATTAATTTCATTTAGATTTTCACATGGACAATACATTGTCAAATTAAAAATACAATTAATAAGCTGGCCTTTAAATTTCCTTACGAAGACTGCCAAAATTAAAATTGAATGTGAAAAAAAATTGCTAATACAGTAATGACAACATTTATATAAAAATGTAACGTTTACCGTTTTTGTCAAGAAAAGAAACTCCCCAGTTTATGTCAGCACACAACTTTTAATTTGCAAAATACCCTCCCTTTTTATATCTTATTTTATTACTTCTCGGGTATGAAAGGACTTCAGTGGCATGTAGCATGAATCAAGTTAAAGGCATGTAGTTACAAGCCAGAGACGAGAACTACAGTACATTTCCTGTCTGTGGCTCACACAAAGGCAGTTCACTGCATTAACATTTGGCAATGCTTAAAATGAAAGGCACCTATTTCCTCTGTGAGGAAGTAACAAGTTTAAAACATTTTAAAACAGATTTTGATAACAGAAGGAGAATCCAAAAGCAAGTAACATCCGTCGATACACGCGCACAGTTGCTGCATACAAGGACTGGGTCATACGGTGGTGTGCTTTCAGCAGGGGGACACAATGATGGGCTGCTGCATGTGAAAACGAAAGAAGTCCAAGCAAATCCTATGTAAACCAACAGCATAGAGTAGGTGAAGTCATTTGTATGTCCCGAAAGCCTTTGCATGTGTTTGCTTTGAGAGTGAAAGCTCCAGCTCACGCTAACTACAAATAAAAACAGAAGAAACTCTCACACCAAAAATTTAGTAATAAATAAATGTACAGTGATATCATACCTGTTCCCAACAATTGACTGTTTCTGTCAACACAATTACGATATAAATAAAAAATTCCACATAAATTACATGTTCTTACTAAAACGCTTCAAGGTTAAAAAGTACCATTGTGCTAGTCTTAGTCCTGTTATGTTTGGCATTTCCCCATACTGCTGTTATTTCTTCGGCCTCTTGAAGAGTTTGGTAAAGGTGTGCTTCTTGCGGCCCGTGCTGGAGCCTTCAGTGTCGTCTCCTATGGAGCCGCTGTCCTCGTCCACCAGGATCTTCTTGCCTGTGATCTGAGAGATTCGGTTACCACCCTTTCCTGTAGGCGATGACGGGCCGTCCTGCTCGGAGGTGTAGATGAGAGAGCGCATCGAGTCGACTGAGTTGAGGCTAGACGGCTGAGAGTGGATCTCTCCGAGACTGGCACACTTCTCCATGCCAAAGGTCTTTTTCTGCAGCAGAGGGCTGTTGGTGGAGGAACCACTGTTGGATCTGGACAGCTTATTATAGAGTGGAGTTGAGGTGCAGCGCTGGGCGTCTCCGTACTGAGACACCGAGAGGGAGGAATCCGATTCGGACCGGTTCAGATCCCTTGATGACGGGATAAGGAGAGAAGAGGATATCAGAACCTACACATTTGCTTTCCCTTAGTCTGTAAGTTAAAATTTTTGAACTTCGTCAACATGAAAGGGCAGCCACAACCCATTTACTTTCATAAAACAGTGTTTTTCCCAAGTGAAACATTGGGAATGCTGTTTGTAGTGGAATGGTGGCTCCTGAAACAACTCAAGCACCTGCAGCACTTTTGACTGAAGTCAAAGAGTCAAGTTCACCCTCAAAATTATCTCACATATTTCAATGACTTTTTAAAATCTATCATGATTTGCTATTATTCCCACAACCTTACCATTTATAGCAATGGCAATCAGCATTAAATTACTGCATTAATTATTGGCAAAATTAAAAAAAGCAGTAGCTTTTTCCAGCTGTAGTATTAAACAAGCCTAAGCAGAATTATTTAAAAAATTGCAATTTTCAAAATTAAAATATTAAAATTATTTAAAAATATACAATTATAAAATGATTTAATTATATAATGTTATAATTATTATAAATAGTTATACATAGAAAAAAAAAAATAGTTTCCCCATTTCCCTATCTGTATGGCCTAGGTAATATCACCTCCTAAAAGTTTTTATTTCCTCAGAGGCAGAACCAGTGCTATTTTAGTATCATTGAGACACTCCTATCATTTTTCAATATCTTTAATTATTTTTTGTTTTTGTATTTTCTGTTTTCATTTTAATTGACGTTTAATTACTTTTATTGTGTTTTGTCATTTTATTAGTTATTGTTTTTTTTTATATTTCTATTTCTACAAAGTTTTTATTACTTTTTATTTCTTTTTTCTTTATTATAGTAAATCTATCTATCTGTCTATCTGTCTGTCTGTCTGTCTGTCTGTCTGTCTGTCTGTCTTTCAGTTTACATTTATTTTATTTTCAAGAACCAAAGATGGTTTTAGTTTTAATTAACTTAACCCTGGATGGAACTTAAAGGGGTCCTATTATGCTCTTTTACAAAGTCTTGATTTTGTTTTGGGGGTGTACTAGAACAGGCTCTCATACTAGGTTGTAAAAGTGAAAAAGCATAATAGGACCCCTTTAAGTTCAAAATTTAAATTTAAGTTCAAAATTCAAGCTCAACGCCTGTAAATAACCGTACTGTGTGGACGTAACCGTATTAAGGACTCAAATACAGGACTGACGACCGTATTCTGCTGCTGTCAGATTTTTATTTCATATTGACTTCATGCTGGATTAGTTCAGTTTCTCACAGTGTTTACATTTAAATAGTTGAATGGAGATTAACTATTAACTAAAAAGTTAGTTCATGACAAGTGAAATTATAATATAATTATAATATAGTAAATATATTATAATTATAACGTATTACAGATACAAAATTGACATTCACAAAAATATCTTATACTAATTAGCATGAAATTAATAGATAAGCTTCATGAAATAAAAGAACTTTGTTAGCAAATTGTTGTTTAGCACTGAAAATAGTTCAGTATTTATCAATTCATAACTGGGAGGTTATGGACACCCTACACACATGCCGTGTGTGTGCACAGCAAACAGTGTGCGAGGTACCCAATGCTTTGAGTCCTCTGATCACTGCGTGAAGCAGTGAACCCTGTTGGCGGCAGACCTGAGACCACCTCCACTGAGGTGAAGTATGAGGAATGGTACTGCAGCGCAGCAAAACGAGAGCCGGAGGAGGAAGACAGGAGTGAGGTAGAGACGATGGAGGGATGAGACAGAGAGGAAGAGAGGGAAGGCATAGGGAGAGACTCCACATGGCCGATTGAGTGGCTGCGAGCCTGGCGCACATAGGGGCGGCCGGGGGGCTGCAGGGGCCCGGCCTCACTCTCATTGTCTTCTACCAACCTCTGCGAGCTCAGGTTCAGCGTGGGGTCTCCGTGTCGTGGCCGCAGGGACATTAGGCTAGGAGCTGAGAAGCACACAAACAGATGTTTATCTGTATTAGTGAGCGGACATTCAAATCATTCAGTCTAATCAAATAATCGTATCAAGTTTCTGTCCCATGAATTATAATGTTATAATTCAAAACAGGGTTCTGTGTTACATTTTGATTTTGCTTAGTTAAAACTATACAATAGAAATTAAACTAAACAACAGAAATATTGTCAGTAGACAATCATGATTTAATCTTGATTTAATTTTAAATTTTTTAATGTAATGTTTTTATTACATGTAGGTAGTTCAACGCCTGCCTTTGTTGCAAAAAAATCTACCACAGTACATATACATGCCTGAAACACATTTTGGAAGCTGGGAGGAGTGTGTTTTACAGTGATAAAAGCACATTAACTGTGGTTAATGAAGGAAAATAGAGCTGGGGAGGAAACAGAGCTGATGATATGGCACAGGAAATTAACACACAAAAGTGTGAAAGCATTGCAAGACTGCAGTGCGAAGAGGATCAATGTCCACAAAAACTGCATGATGACAGATATGCGGTTTACAGCCTACGCGAAAATAATGCAGTGATGCAGCTCTTGGTTATGTATGAAACATTTAAAATGGATAATGACTGGCTGACTGTACATTAAGGTACTTATTACACGGCTACTAAACAAATAAACGAATAAATGGACATGAAATATTGCTTTGAGTGAAATGATTTTATGTCAGAAGACTATGGAGAGAGATGAAAGATGTGAAATGAGCACAGCTAAGTAGGACACCCGTCTGATTCACCAAGAATTATATTTATTATGCTTATTTACTGTACTGTACATGCACATGAGAACTTTTTGTTAATTCCTCCCTAATTCACAACACGTGTGTACTAACATTAATTTCTAATCATTGTTGTGATGTAATGAAATTTAGAGTATTCTAAATGAGCAACTGTGTGCCTGAGGTTTTAATTTGCATAAAACATGTTGAAATACACTGTGTAAAAGTCTTAGGCCATTAGTATTTTCGCCAACAAAAAAATGGTTTTAAGTCAGTTATTTCTGTCTTTTGCTGTAGTGTGTCAGTAGGAAATATCAGTTTACATTTCCAAACATTCTTTCCAAACATTCCTTTTGCCATTTATTGTAATAATCCAGTGAGATTTTTGTATCCACAAGGAGTCTGACAGCAGCCAGTGCTCCACACAGAGATCTGATCTCACCATCATCCAGTCAGTCTGGAATGACATGAAGAATCAGAAAAAACTGAGACAGACTAAATCCAGAAGAACTGTGGCAACGTCTCCAAGACACTTGAAGAAACTTCCTGCAAAGCTACAGTGCTGTGAAAAGTTCTAGGCACTTGTGTAAACATGCTGTAAAGTTAGGATGCTTTCAAAAATAATGTCATAAATAGATTTTATTTATCAATTAACTTATATTAACTAAATCAAATCAATATTTAGTGTGACCTTCCTTTGCGTTTAAAACAGTTTTTGCCCTAGGTGCACTAGTTTTTCAGGTAGCTTTGTAGGTAAGTTTCTTCAAGTGTCTTGGAGATGTTGCCACAGTTCTTCTGGATTTAGTCTGTCTCAGTTTTTTCTGATTCTTCATGTAATCCCAGACGGACTGGATGAAGGTGAGATCAGATCTCTGTGTGCAGCACTGGCTGCTGTCAGACTCCTAAATATACAAAAATCTCACTGGATTATTACAATAGAAATGTTAACTGATATTTCATACTGACACACGCACTGGCTGTTGTCAGACTCCTTGTGGATACAAAAATCTCACTGGAGTATTACAATAAATGGCAAAATGAATGTTTGGAAATGTAAACTGATATTTCCTACTGACACACTACTGACAAGACAGAAATAACTGGCTTAAAACCATTTTTTTTGTTGGTGAATAAAAAAATAGTGGCCTAAGACTTTTGCACAGTATGTAGATTAAACCATTTAATCTATTTCAACATTAGTAGGCCACCAAGAATATGTGATTTTTTTAAGTATGTGTGGTTTCAGTTGTTCCTACATTTTTCACAATTTAGAATAATATTCAGTTACTGATGAAACATGGTTTGTTTGTTAAAACATTTGTATGCAGATTTCATGTACATATTTGCATGCATGCACAGTTGAATGAAACCCATTATCTGCTTGTGACTACAACTTATACAAATTATACGAGCATATACAAAATCAATGTACAAAAATGTTTATGCGCAGAACTTTGCAATCGTCCATTCAAAATATTCCAAAGAGCCGTGTAGTAAGTTTAAATACAGGCTTTACACACTGCGCTTAAAAGGATAGTTCACCCAAAAATGAAAATTCTGTCATTAATTACTCACCCTCATGTCGTTTCAAACCCGTAAGACCTTCGTTCATCTTCGGAACACAAATTAAGATTTTTGAGGGAAACTGAGAGCTCTCTGACCCTGCATAGACAGCAACGCAACTGAAATGTTCCCAAGTCCAGAAACGTAGCAAGGAGATCTGTAAAATAATCCATGTGACATCAGTGGTTCAACCGCAATTATACGAAGCTACGAGAATACTTTTTGTGCGCAAAAGAAAAAAAAAACGACTTTATTCAACAATTCGTCTCCTCCGCATCACCCTGTAGCGCCATTTTGGAGAGTATCAGCTGGACTAAACAATGTATGCTGTTCTGTGTCAGCTGCGTCACGCCGGATCTGTTTCCTACGTTGTTGTGATTTGATCTGCACGGAAACAGCGTATCCGTGTGACGCAGCTGATTTACGTCCAGCGGATATTCTCCAAAATGGCACCAAGGTGATGTGGAGGAGACGAATTGTTGAATAAAGTCGTTTTTTTTTTCTTTTGCGCACAAAAAGTATTCTCGTAGCTTCGTATAATTGCGGTTGAACCACTGATGTTATATGGATTATTTTACCGATCTCCTTACTACGTTTCTGGACTTGAGAACATTCCAGTTGTGTTGCTGTCTATGCAGGGTCAGACAGCTCTCAGATTCCATCAAAAATATCTTAATTTGTGTTCCGAAGATGAACGAAGGTCTTACGAGTTTGAAACGACATGAGGGTGAGTAATTAATGACAGAATTTTCATTTTCGAGTGAACTAACCCTTTAACACTGGGTTAACGTTTTTTTAACCCTAGATTAAGGCCATTTTAACCTTGGTTTAACAAATTGTTACCCACTAAATTGTAAAAAGAAGGTTGACAAATTGATTTTAAATAGTTGCTGTGCTAAAGACAATATTGGGAATCACTAACCTAGAAACCCAGCAACAGAACAAGAAGAAAAAAAGTAAAAATAACCCAGGGTTAACTATTTCAGTGTGAAAAGCACATAGATATATTAAAAAAGAGAAAACTTTGGGTTAGCTAGCTTCTGTGCTAGCTACAGAGCATTGTTTTGCAGCACAACTTCAATATAAAGTGTGGTCACACAAGTGATATTTTGGCGGAAATTTGTGGACAAAAAAGGTCCTCTGTCTATGGTAAATAGTGTAGAGATGTATAAAACACACCTCACACAGACGTCATTTTCAAACAAAGCAGCTTTCTGTCGGACAGTGTGGCAAATTCTCACGACCAGCCTGAAACTATTGCAAAGCTATCTGCAAGCTAAAATTCCTGATCGTGAGAATTCCTGTTGTAATGAATGTATTTAGCCCGCAAAACTTCAAACAACGTTAAATGTGACAGTACTTTAAAACTTGCTATTTTGGGATGTTAAGTTGTCATCAGTGTAGACGTAGAATCAGTGGCTTCTAATTCATAACATCTACGATAATGATCGCAATAGACCTGGTAAATTTTGGTCAACATTTTACATTCTCTGGTGTTTATCCACACTGAGATGAATATAAAGAGCACCACTGATTTCACATCTGCACTTTAAAACGTTTAAAGGTGTCTTTTTAAGAGCTGGATACACAATTTCCATCTAGAAGGTCTTAAATGGGCAGTGGGAATGGCACAGAAAGGTTTGCTTTGTGTTAGCATTGGCTGAGAGAATAAAGGGGGTGCTGCCAACCAGAAGGGATTGGTTTCCACAGGGATTGGCTCTCGGAAGCCACGGGCCAAAGGTCGCTCACTCGCCGATCCATCTGCCAGGCGGCATCTGCGGACATTAGCCAATGATATCACACCACGGAAAAGCAAAGCTCAACGGAAAGCTTAATTGCCATGTATTAGGGTTAGAAAACTGGTCACTGGATCATTTTAATGTGGTTATAGACGGCTGAGAAGCTTTATATTGCGACACAGATGAATATGTTCAGATTCAGCAACATGAAAGTATGTTTAACTCATTGTACCACATTTGTGTGCATGATAAACTCACATTGCAGGGTTCCTGGGGAAAGTATGTCCTCATCCATGTCGTCTAGGTCATCGGATAGCAGTAGGTGTTGGGGTACAGCGGGGCGTATGCCCAGGAAAACAGGGTCCAGGTTGAGGGCAGAGGCCAGAGACGACATGCCAGGGTTATTAACAATATTAAACCCCGTCAGAATCTCAATTTGCTGCCATCGATGAAGCTTTTCTCTCAGAGCAGCAGTCACTTCTCCCAGAGCCTGTCTGCAGAAGTTAGAGAGAAAGAGAGGTGAGGTTTGGTTTTGTTGCTCTACACTCTAAAAATAAAGGTCCTTATCTATTATTCCATGAAGAACATCCATGGAACCTTTCCATTCCACAAAAGGTTCTTTATAGTGGATTAAAGGTTCTTCAGATTAATAAAAAGTTCACATTAAGAAACAAATGGCTCTTTTAAGGACTTCTCATTGAAAGGTTTTTTGGGAACCAATAATGGTTCTTTAATAGCATTGCTGCAAAAAACACTCTCTGGAACCTTTATTTTTAATTGTGTAGGTTAAAACAGGTCTTTATTTCAGCTTGCACATTACATCCAAAAATGGTAAGAGCGACTCACTTGGCTGAGAGGATTTTGTGATCAACATCGTCCAGTGAAGAGCTGTGGGCCACGTGAAACGTCCCAAAGAGTGTTCCTCTCTTCTTCTTGATTTTTTCTGCCTGTTATGGTGGTCACAACTTCATAGTTAACAGCACTACTTAGATGTTCAGCTCGTGGAACAGGCAAACTAGATTTAATATTCAGTTAAAGCTTGTAATCTGTGAGTATTTGACCGTCTCACCCCTTCTTTAGCCACTATGAGCTGTCTTTCTGCTTGCTGTTTCTTAATGTTGTAGTACTGCACTTCCACCTCGTGTGTGAGCTGCAGCCATTTCTGCAGAGCTTCAGGAGGAGCCCAGCCACTCCTCAACTCCAGCTCCCTCTCAGCCTTCTTCAGAGCCATTCGCACCTAAAACAAACACACAAACTCATTAATATTGGCTGCAGGAGGGAGGATGTTTTGAGGAGAGAATTGTGTAAAACCTCTTCTGTGCCACTTCAGCAGTTCCCATGGTGATGGGACACCTGTAAGGTGAATGTTGCTGGCAAGTCAATGGTGAAAAAAGCACTACTTTTCAACAAAATAAATCTAAGGGCAGGAACTACACATAGAAATGATAACTTTAGTTGAATTTCATAATAGTGCTGTCAAAAGATTTAAAAAAAATTGCACATTTTTTTCTGAAATTAATCACGATTAATCCAACCTAATATTTAAGTTTTTAAATATTAAATATTCATTTCAAATATAGCCATTCAACATTACAGTATAACTGAGAGCTATCAATTTTAACATTTATTAGACTTTCAAAAATAACTTCTAATTTAAGTGAACTTAAAACAATCTACACATACAGTAAACCCTTTATAATAAATGTCACATTTAACTGCCCTTCAGCAAGTAGGAAATATAAAGAAATGGAATAAAGTTATCAAACACTAAATTCTAAATTAAATATACATGAATCCTTAAAGCTACAAAATGATTGATTTCCTCTTTTCCTCTTTTTTCTTTTGTTCTTTGATTAACAGACATCACAGCAGCTGGGTTATTAGGTTATTTGGCTGCTATTACTTTAAGAGCTGCTGCTGCTGCTGAACATGACACGCATCGTATTTTCTCACAAATATTTACCTTTTCTGACCCACTTCAGGTCTTAACGTCTCTACTAATAAGCTGACAATTTGAATCGGGTTTGTTAGATGAGGGAAACAGTGCTGGGCTGCTCCAGGATACTTACATGCATGCACAGTTTTAAGGCAGCTTTAATGGCCTTTCTGGTACCTTCATGACTTAGCTGATTACATAAATACCTCTGTTACGGGCTGTCAAGCATAAAGAGTGCATGACGAAGGAGTCCAAGTAAGATCTTTTAATAAACCAACAGGGAGAAAACAAGAACATCCATAATCCAAAACAATAGCAGACACTGAACTGCTGAAGATACAGGGTTTAAATACATGGAAAATGTAATCAAGATGAAAACAGAACAGGTGTGGAGCCAAATAACAACTAAGGGAACAAACTAGGGAACTAATGCAGGGGAACAGAGATACAGAGAAAACTAAACCGAATTGGAACAGAACAGAACATAAACGTGACAACCACATTGCATGCTCGTAGTTTCTTTTGCTCTTTAATATGAAATGCTATACAGCATGCCAGCGCATTTGTGTGTGCAATTGAGGAGCACATACTATGCGCATAGTATAACGGCAGGAAAATTGTTTTTTACTGATATATGGCCTGACAACATCTCATCTGACTGCAGTTCAATGTTGTTCTACAGAAGCTCCCTCGTCACCTGTACCTTTTCCTCACTCGTTTGACTAGAGCCTGATGCTGAGGCAAAGTTGGAGTGCACGTCTGAAAAGTCTCCCATTTGATGTGGTCGTAAATGCGTTATGCGTCTAAATAAATGCTATCCTTGTCAAGAAAAAAAGAGACAGAAGCAGCACTTGTGAGTGGGGTGGCCAACCCTGCATTAATTGCGTAAAATATTTTTAAAGCCGTGAAATTTCATAATTTTTACTTTCTGCTATATTTTGCACTCAAATAATAGATTGTTTTACATTTTTTATCTTATGAATTTATATTTTATAAACTCTATGTATTTAATTTTGTAATTGTATTTTTAATAAATTTTAGTTTTACATTTTTTTTTTTTATTTGATGATACATATAACTTAAATCTATGAGAAACTGTGAGGATGTCCAAACATGTTGCTAATAAGCGAACAGTGAAAAGAGGCATGTGTTTCAACGTAAAACATGCTATTTATATTTACAAGGTATCGAAAGATTTACAGAAAAAAGGAAAAAAGCATCCTCTTGAAATGTTTAAACAAAATAAATTGAAGGGGATGTTTTACAGGTTTAACTAAATGTTTAAACAACATTTTGATAAGAGTTTTAACAATTACCAAAAAAAAGTCTACAGACTATACAAAACTTTTTTTTTGTTTTTGTGCAAAACTGTGCACATTTAATGAGACAATGCCTCATTTGCATATTTGCATAAATGAAATAAATGTGGTAAAAGTTGCCTCTGGCAAGGTTTAATTTTGATAAAAGGAAAGAAAAAAACATCTCCTCGCAAGTTGTACCTACTGTTAATAAGGCCTTGTGATACCTGTTCCAGCTCCTGCTCTGCATATTTCTGTCTGCTCAACTCGTTCTCAGTTCCCTCACGCAGTTCTCGTAGTCTTTGTGCCTCCTGCTTGGCTGCATCAATCTCGCTTCGCATCTCCCGCTCCAGGTTGACCTTCTCCTCCTCCACCGTGTGATGCTCTTCCTGTGCAGTCTGCAGCCTAAACAGAAGCACATCATCAATCTCAAACTGAACCACTATGGATTTGTTACTTAACCAACAAGATAATATAGTTTCCCTCAATCACCAGCAGGTGGCGCACTGGAGAAATGAGCAGACATGAAAAGGGAACTGGATCTGCAAGACTCTACCACACCTCTTCCTTCTCATGAAAAGACAGCTGAACAAGATGTGGCCTGTTCAGTGTGGTAATTATGTGTTGAAACGTCCTTACAGCTTTACAGGGAAATCTCACCTCTCAGCTAAGAGTTTCCGGGACATGGATGGCTAAATTTAGATATTCATGTGGCTTAATGATGCACTTGGTTGACAAGAAGTCTTCAATTCAATTTAAAATTATTGAAATCAGCTTTGTTTGACATATCTGTGATATTATCACACAGTCTATGTATTTTTCTCCTTTATTATTCAACGAAATTAGAAGAAAAGAAAAAGAGGGTGGGGGAACATAAAAGTGGAGAGGGCTGATCAGTGCACTGGATAGCCTTCTCTCCTGCTGACATAGTCCCAGTTCAAACAGTAGGTGAGGTATAAATCAAACTGTCATTGATATGACAGTGGCCAAGTCAGAGTGTAACACTCACTCATAAACACTCTGGGAGGGAGAGCATAAGATAAATGAAAAGGAAGGAAATTAACAGCAGAGGACAACTACAAAAGTTCACAAGGTAAAAAAAAACTTAGACAGGATAGACAGACGGACAGGATAGACAGACAGGACAGACAGACAGACAGACAGACAGACGGATAGATAGATAGATAGATAGATAGATAGATAGATAGATAGATAGATAGGCAGACAGACAGACATACAGATAGACAGACAGACAGATAGATAGATAGATAGATAGGTGTATATGCAGACAGACAGACAGACAGATAGGTGTATATGCAGACAGACAGACAGACAGACAGACAGATAGATTGATAGATAGATAGATAGATAGATAGATAGATAGATAGATATATAGGTGTATATGCAGACACACAGACAGACACACAGACAGATAGGTAGATAGATAGGTGTATATGCAGATAGACAGACAGACAAATAAATAGATAGATAGACAGACAGACAGACAGACAGACAGATAGATAGATAGATAGGTGTATATGCAGACAGACAGACAGACACACACAGACAGATAGGTAGATAGAAAGGTGTATATGCAGATAGACAGACAGATAGATAGATAGATAGACAGACAGACAGACAGACAGACAGATAGATAGATAGATATGCAGACAGACAGATAGATAAATAGACAGACAGACAGACGATAGATAGACAGACAGACAGACAGATAGGTGTATATGCAGACAGACAGACAGATACATAGACAGACAGGCAGACAGACAGACAGATATGTGTATATGCAGACAGACAGACAGACAGACAGACAGACAGATAGATAGATAGATAGATAGATAGATAGATAGGTGTATATGCAGACAGAGAGATAGACAGACAGACAGACAGACAGATAGATAGATATGTGTATAACCTCCTGTTAATAAGGCCTTGTGATACCTGTTCCAGTTCCTGCTCTGCATATTTCTGTCTGCTCAACTCGTTCTCAGTTCCCTCACGCAGTTCTTGATAGATAGATAGATAGATAGATAGTCAAATATATATATATATCTTGTAAACATTAACATTAGTGTTTCAATAAAGCATGAACTTTTCAATAATTATTTATCTGATTAAGGAATGGTTGCCATGGAAAATGGCCAATATATACCGATTTTGGTACTTTTGAAAGAAGTCTATGCTCTTGCTCACCAAGATTGCTTTTATTTGATTTTTCCATACATTTTTGCCATATGTACATTAACTGACAGTCACCACTGATAAGCTACCACTAAATATTGTAGAAACATAATTTTCTGTAAAGTTGCTTTGCAACGATTTGTATCGTCAAAAGCGCTTCTTTGATGAATAAAAACTTTATTGAAGAGCATTTATTTGAAATAACATTACACATTCCATACATACTGAGACTAGTCCTGACAGAATCACTTAGCAATCTTGCGATGTCATGACCAGCTAAAACTTTTGCTTGAGATGTGAAAGATTGTTTACCTAGCTGAGTTCTTCAAACTTCACAAACCACAGGAATTTATTGCTAACTTACAAACAGACCTTCCTCCATCTAGAAATGTAGTCCTGCCTCAATAAGATATCGAAAACATTTTTTTCAGCTGAGGATTTTGGATGGCAGAGAGTCCTCATTTCTTCATTTGTATGTGCTGAAGCTGAAATTTGTAAACAGACCGGAGAGGTGAATAACTGCCATAGCTGAGATTATTAAGAGGCTCCGGACAGAATCTGGAACCGGGAGGGATAAACCACTCAGACAACAGACCAGACAATTCACAGACACACTGGTATATTTAGACAGTTTATAAAGTGATTACATCGAATTCCTTCAATTAGTATGAATTTACAAGAACATAAGGCTCCAAAAAAAGAAAAAATATCTTTAACCAATCACAAAATTTCATACAATTTCAACAAATTTTATTTCAAACAGAGTGCTTGACTTTGGCCAGTAAACTACCACCTAGCAATCGCTCAGAGTAAAGGCCCGTTCACACCAAGCACGATAACTATAAAGATAACGATAAAGATATAGTTTTAAAAATCGTTCTCAATATTAAAGAATAGCATATTTCACAACACAGCTATAACGATAACGATACAGAGGAACGATATCGTTGTGATCACTTTCAAAACGATTTTTTTTTCCAGCTGATGAACGATAAAACACTGACAGCCAATCAAACGAGCGCAAGAATTTAAAGCGGCAGACACACGTGCGCTTAGAATAAACAGACGATATCGTTCGCTGGTGTGGACGCTAATATCGTTATCTTTATAGTTATCTTTATAGTTATCGTTCTTGGTGTGAACGGGGCTTTAGAGTGTTTACTCTTTTAGATGTCATAGCCCACCAAATACAATCATACTCATGCTTGGGAGCATTCTAAAATTTTAAAGGCATCTATATAGTTTCTTGCCTAAAGACCCAATTTAAATGTGAAAAATCACTAATATAAATATTTCAAAAATGTTATTTGGAAAATATTTTGCTTCCATTCTATTTCAATATTATGCATTTTTCCTTCTCGTACTATACAAATACTGTACTTTTATAGCAGTCTATTTATTTATTTACTTAATCTACTTTTTATTAATTTTTTTACATTTTTCCACAGACCCCATAGCACTTCCTTGTAGTCCCCAAGGACCCTGTTTGTAAACCCCTGGTTCTGAGTACCCTAGCAACCGCATAGCAACTACTCAACTACAAATAAATGCATTGGTAACCACTCACAACACCCTAGCATGAAAGCACCACCAAAATATTGTTTAATCAGTAAGCATTAACCTAAAAACATAATTTTTTCATAGTTTTACATGTATGCCTACTTATGTAATAAAGCATAGGCAAGTGCAGGACACATAAAAGATCAAGCACAGAAGGAATATGGCTCTAGCAGCCTTGTGCTTTATCATGTTTCATATACTAACAGTGCATCATCTAAAATTCTTGCAACAAATATCATGCAGTCCTTGACAGCCTTTGGGATTAAGATGGTGTTGTGTCTAATACCGTTACAATAGCACTTTTCTTACCACCAGCATCTTTGACAGGTTTGACTCTGGCTGATGTTCTAGGTAGAGACATTCACATGAACTAGCAATCATATGAATGCCCTCGACCTTTTCCATCTATCTCTCTCTCTCACCTATTTATTGATAACATCTGTCCCATCATCCCTCGCTTTTCTGTTTCACCAGCTGTACTTGAGTATCACGCTGTAACAGTTGACATTAATGGGACATACCTCTTCTGTCTGGCTCTTGTACTCCAATAAGTCTGACTATTTTCAGAAGCAGAGGATATTTGCTCACGAGAAAAGAAAACAGACTAAACCTTCCCTTGATTTTAGCACGTAACGAGCAATGGATACAGCAGTCTGGACTTCATCCAGCGAACCCTCTGCAAACATCAATCCAGAAAAACGTATGCCTCACAGAACATTTCCAAGCTAGTGTTTTTCTAAAACAGGAAGGAGAATTAAGAAAATGGTTCCAACAATTCAGCAGAAAGATAAAGCAAATAACTGGGTATTATTAAATGGATAATTCTACTTCTGGAAGCCAATCGTCTATACAGCATTTCAGTCACACTAAAATACAAAATATAATAACAGTTATGAACAAAATGAACAAAAAATGTGATTCGTCTATTATTATTTAAGTGATGATGCAACTCTAGCATGATTAATGGACAGTTCAAATGAATCAAAATTACCAACTCTTGCCAATGAATCAGAACTGATTAATTCAAATGGACAGTTTGAACTGATTCACAGTAATGAATCGATCATACCAATTCTTGCCAATGAATCAGTATTAATTCAAATGGTTTAAAATAATTCACAGAAATTAATTAAATACCAATTCTTGCCAATGAATAATAATTCCTTCATTCAAAGAAATGAAGCGATCTTTCCAAATCTTGCGGATGAATCAAAATTAATTAATTAATTAAGATGGACAGTTTAAACTGATTCACAGAAATCAATCAAACTTACCCACTAAATCAGGGTATCTTCCGATCATTTGTTTTTTAATTTAATATTGAAATCTGACAAATGAAAAACGGCACATATTTCGTTTTTCAATTGTTCAAACAAAACGAAAAATCAAGAATCCAGCTTCATTTTTCGTTTTTACGTTCAGGGATAGAAAACGAATAAACAACTTGAATATTCGATCTCTACTTGTGGGCGGGAATTAAACGCCCCTCTCCGCTGATTGGTCAACTAAACATTACAACATAATAATAGTCCTAAAAAAATTAAAAAACATAATAATAGTCCTCCGCTTCTATTGATTCTTAACATGTTTATTTCTACTACATTTTATCTCTTTCTCTTCATCAAACAGCCAGATTAATGAATGGCTTGACACAAACCGTACCGAGGCAGAGTCTTTGGTCCTTTGGCTCACCGCCTGATCTATTATAGCTAACTATCAAAATCTGTGTGGCAAAGCTGCGCAACACACTGCAGCGCGGGGAGAATGTATTGTAGTGAAGCACAGACTATCAATTTATGTGAACATACAGTCATAACTTTTGTTTCAGACAATACGCTGCGTTTTAGACAGAGGAAGAACTTAATGTGACAGATAGGAAAAGAAATGACTTTGTGTAATTTACCTTCACAGCACATCTATTTATTTATTTTTTTTGAGTTTTATTCATAGAGCACTTTCTAGAAATGTAGGAAATCATATGTTGTTATCCCACTGGCATGGGACTATTTGTTCGTCAGAGTGCTTGTTTCAGTGATTGAATTTAGTGAAATGTGAATTTGATGTCATGATTTGAAGGTGAACTCGTTTGAGTTATAAGAACATATCCAAACCCTGAAATAACACTTCGAACAATAAGCCAGTGTCATCAGTGTCAGAAATTAACTTTCCCATAAGGGGCAACTGATTTTCAGTTTATTTATTTATTTACTTTTTATTTTTTTTACCCTTTGTATGTCATCTTTAATGTTAAATTCTTACATCAAATAAATTAGAATAATATGACAATAGGCTGTTACCAATTAAATCAGTATTCAGTGATATAGATAGAACCTGCGCCTGAAGATGCTTTTAGATGTATTTACAGTTTAATGCTGATCAGACGGCTG